GGCATTTCAATATTGCAATAATTGTAACGTTATAATACTCATTATAAAAATGAATATTTAAATTTTTTTATCTAATACTTAAAAAAAAAAGACATGCCCGCTGAGTTTCTTGCCAGTTCTCCTCAGGACGGAGGTTAGTTTTTGTGAATTGGCGGTAGTTCTTTTGACGTTCAACATGTACTTTCATTTATGTTGAATTTTTTTATTTATTTGATTTGATTTAATTTGATTCGTGTTACTAAAAAATACCCTATTATAGGTTCCAACCTGATTAAAAATGAAGTTTTTTCACGTGATGATAGGAGAAACATCTCTTAAAGACTGATACGCTGAACATTAGTGGAAGCTAAATTGTTTGGAAGAACCTCTTGAAAGGAATATTACTAATACTTAAAAAAATATTGTTTTTTATATTTTGTTGTTGTTGTTTCTAATTAGTTGACAAATTTGTTCATACCTTAAAACTGATTTATTTGCAATGTAATATTGAAACTGCACTTGTGTAGTGGAATTTATATTGTTTTTTTTAACACTAAACATACCATAACGGGTCAAATGACCGATTTTGAACTTGAGCATTGAAAATGCACGTATCTCCTTATTGCTTTTGCACATTTGACTTCATGACCTTTTCTTATCAATTAATCTACAGTTATTATACTATTTTTTGTATCGTTTTGTTTATTTTGAGTAATACTTATCGTATACCGTTATCGACCCGCTATGAATAGAAATAGCTAGAAATAGGTACTTATTATATAGAAATAGGTATAAGTGTTGGTATGATTAGTGCTAATAAATGATAAATCGTTGAACATAATATTGGCGTCATATTTTTGTTTAATTTCCAAATGAAAACGATTGCGGTGAAGTATCTTATATAATGTCAAGGATCGTTGGTAGCGTTTCTAATTATGCGACCACCACTGTATATATTAGTTGAAACTTCTTAGTAAAAGTTGTTTTTTTGTTTTTTAGATAATTTAAGGAATTGTTTATAAATCCCATAGTTCTTGTCTAAAGTAGCTGTAAGATTCTCTTACAAGCTTATCAATTAGAAATAGGTTTAGGTACCTATATTATTCAAAAGGTTTCCCTGGGAGGGAAATATGAAAATTGTCTAAAATCTAAAGCTTAATAATATAAATTCATGTATTTCTTTCATATCCGTCGTCACACGGCAAAAGCAAATTAGGGGTAAAAACTCGACAACCTGTGGGCTTAGTAGCGTTGCCAACTCAGTAGTTTTACCACTAAAATTAGAAGTTTTTATTTTTGAACAGTAAGTAGAAAACATTTATTTTTAGTAGTTAGTAGATTTTGTTCACTAACAAAATTTTTATATACTGATGACCAACCATGCAGTAGCATGCAGTAAGTAGCATGGTTGGTTATCAGTATAAACAAATTTTAATTTCTTAACTATCACATGTCAGCATAAAAAGTTAAATACTTTACTTAATTTTCTCATGAATGTTAAAATTAAACTAGAAATTTTAATCAAAATGCTGCAATAAAATTATGAACTTCATAACAATTGAATTGTTAAAAAAATTGGAACAAACAGTGGTTTCATACTTCAGTGGAACAACGAAGTTTATGGAAAGTCCACAGATCTCGAACACTCTAGTGATGTTTCATCCAACGAAGATGAATAGCTCTGCTATTTATATTCTAAGCAAAATGTTTATTTATTATTTAATGAGAGACATGCATATAAATATATAAATGATTTCTGTCGAAAATACGTTTCTATATATGTTGAAAATTTTGTGTGTAGTAATTATTATTAAAAGATTTTAAATCGATGTTTTTATTTTATCATAAATATGAAAATATTTACTTATTGTAAAAACTGATAGCAATAAAAATGTTCATTTTATAAGAAATAGTGATGGTAATTTAGTTCTTACATAATATTTTTAATATAATCCACCACAGCGAGTTAGTGGTTTTTTAGTGGAATGGATTGGCCGTCTTAGTGGGAGAGATTTCAGAATGCGGGCAACACTAGTGCTTAGTGCGAGTTTTGTAACGTTCTCGATAATGAGAAAGTTAGCTCATATTTGTATGCTGTTGGAAAAGCGCCCCTAGCGGCAAACGTATCCGGTGTTAGGTATTTTGTGTGTGCAAGTTCATGTTGACGTTGCGGTCTCGTAATCGAGTAACTTGCATCAACTCGCATTCAGAGTTCTTCACTTTTCACCGGGAAGAACGTATACTCGATTTGATTTATGAAATTCGCACTAAGCAGACTGTTCTAAGGAAAAGAAAAAACGGGATGAATTGATAACCTTTTGGAAGGGAAAGGAAAAAGAAAATATGGTTATTACTGCTAAGCGTAATCTGTTACGCAGACGACACGTTGGTCGTGGCCCGGGGGGGGGAGTTTCGCTGAGTCTGCCCGTCTTGCTACGGCTGGGGTGGCGCATGTCGTCGGCAAAATCAGGAGATTGGGCCTCGACGTGGCGCTCAGTAAATCCGAGGCCATGTGGTTCCACAGGCCCCGGAGAGTGCCACCTGTCGATGCCCATATCGTGGTTGGAGGCGTCCGTATCGAGGTCGGGGTGCAATTGAAGTACCTCGGCCTCATTCTAGACAGTCGTTGGGCCTTCCGTGCTCACTTTCAGAATCTGGTCCCTCGTTTGTTGGGGGTGGCCGGCGCGTTAAGCCGGCTCCTTCCCAATGTTGGGGGGCCTGACCAGGTGACGCGCCGTCTCTATACAGGGGTGGTGCGATCAATGGCCCTATACGGGGCGCCCGTGTGGGGCCAGTCCCTGGCCGTGGGGGTAGCGAAGCTGCTGCAACGGCCGCAACGCACCATCGCGGTCAGGGTCATCCGTGGTTATCGCACCATCTCTTTCGAGGCGGCGTGTGTACTGGCTGGGACGCCGCCTTGGGTCCTGGAGGCGGAGGCGCTCGCTGCTGACTATCAGTGGCGGGCTGACCTTCGTGTACGGGGCGTGGCGCGTCCCAGCCCCAGTGTGGTCAGAGCGCGGAGGGCCCAATCTCGGCGGTCCGTACTGGAGTCATGGTCTAGACGGCTGGCCGATCCTTCGGCTGGTCGTAGGACCGTCGAGGCGATTCGCCCGGTTCTTGTGAACTGGGTGAATCGTGACAGAGGACGCCTCACTTTCCGGCTCACGCAGGTGCTCACTGGGCATGGTTGCTTCGGTGAGTTCCTGCACCGGATCGGAGCCGAGCCGACGGCAGAGTGCCACCATTGTGGTTGCGACTTGGACACGGCGGAGCACACGCTCGTCGCCTGCCCCGCATGGGAGGGGTGGCGCCGTGTCCTCGTCGCAAAAATAGGAAACGACTTGTCGTTGCCGAGTGTTGTGGCATCGATGCTCGGTGACGACGAGTCGTGGAAGGCGATGCTCGACTTCTGCGAGTGCACCATCTCGCAGAAGGAGGCGGCGGGGCGCGTGAGAGACGCACAGGCCCGCCGCCGTCGAGCGGGGGCCAGGGAGGCGGATATCGCCCAAGCCCTGGCCCTCTAAGTGTTTCGGGTCTCCCTCACATGTCGGCCTGGGGACCGACGAAGGGGGCCTAAGAAGACGACGTGCAAGCTGCTCTGCACGCGTTTTATGCATGAGCATCCGGGTGATGGAAGGCCGGCTATCCTCAACCCACGCTGGTTCTGACCCAGCGGGGTATTCCGTAGGATAGACCATTCTAACCGGCGCCATCTAGGCGGGCTTCGGATAGCCTGCCGACCGAGAGGGCTGGTGGTCGTGGCACCGACGACCGCCAGTCCGGCGTCCCGAGGGGGAGGGTGATGGGAGAGATGTGCTCCGCACTAAACGCTTCACTTTCCCCCCTTTGCCTTTTCATGAGTTTTGTCTCATGCGAGGTTTGGACGTTGGTTGTTGAGAGACAGGAGGCTTTAGTCGGTTCGACTCCGACATGCCCCGCCCTCCATCCCCAGTGAAGGGCGGAAGTCCGGCGATTTCCTCCTGACAAAAAAAAAAAAAAATGGTTATTACTGACTATAATACGAGTGAAACCACGGTCAAAACTATTATAAAATTACTAAAACATTTTTAAATCCCAAATTGAACGATGTTATTTTAATTATAAAAAAGATAATACATGAGAGATCCATTTAACTTTACCCTAAGTGCACGATGCGCAGACAGCCCTCCACTCTTTTGTCGAAAGCTCACGACTCGTGCCGGTGACTATACTTTGATGTTCTCGTACATTCAAAACGAAATGGTTACTTGCATTTTCAAACTACAACTCGACCAAGCTAAGTTTGCACCTCGCTGCAATGCGGCTGTCCGCCCGCTTCCCGCGATCGCCCTGTCGCGTCAGTACGGTTAGCACTCTTTGTCGCCGACACGCGTCATACGAGTTTTCGTCTCCCTATACGTTGAATTTTAATTTTTTTAACTGCTCTTGTTAGGTTTTTTGTTGAAGTTTAGTTATATTATTGGACGAGGATTGTTGTGGGCAACAAAATGAAGGTGATACACAGTAAAGGGAGAAACATAATCCTGAAAAAGAAACATAAAGGAAAATTATTACTGAGCAATTGGGATACAAATTTAAAAAGTGCAAGAACGCCCGGGTGGTCTTAATACAAAAACCCGATATCGCTATATTCTATTGTACCTATGTATAATATATTGTTAAAAACAATAAATGCAAAGTAAAATCTAACAAACATTTGCTTACATTTATAAAGTCATAGCGAATCCTTTTTTCAGACTGTACCTAAGCGGCAATGTGACGTAATCGATGCGAGGTGCAAACTTAGCTTGGTCGAACTGTACGTATTATAGTTTACAACTTACAACATGGCTATAACAAGGAAAAAAATTGAAACGAATTACTTTTGAAATACATTTGTTTGGAATACATTAAAAACTATTATAAATAATATTAATTTCTTAGCTCTGAAAAAAATATTATCGAAACGATAAACAAGTCGATTTTACATGTGCCCATCCTTAACTTACCTGTCAATTTTCTATGTTTATTTCCTGCCAAATGAATAAAATTACAATCAAAACAACATAGTTATTTAAATATTTACCAATTAACATGTTGTATAAAGAAATAGAGGTTTCCTAAGTAAAATAACTCGGCCGTTTCAATATTAGCCCTGTATTCGAACTGCAAATAGTTCGAAAATGGATTATTTCATTCAAGAGAAAAACATTTCCGGCCTATGTCGCTTTTGCTTGAAAAATAACGGAAGTAAAGATATAAAAACTGAATATAGTACTAACGACAGTAGAGAAGTTTACCAAGAAATGATTGAAAACGTTTTTAATATTCAGGTAAGTTAGTAAAACCGAAATTTCTAAATTAAGCAGGCAGCGGCTTGGCTCGGCTCCTGGCATTACTGAAGTCCATGGGCGACGGTAACCACTTACCATCAGGTGGGCCATACGCTCGTCTGCCTACAAAGAAATTAAAAAAAATTATTAACAAATGGTTAAAATAATTATGAATTTAATTCGACAGTCTGTATCTATTCGATATTTGCGTTATTTCGAATGCAAAGGAAAACTAAATTATTTTCAGCTAAAAACTTCAAAATTTTTTTTATTTTAAACAGTAATTCAATGATGACTTCCAAAAGTATCTGAAGAAAATTGTTTCAACCTGCAAATTGGATTGCTTGACTGCCTTGCATCTACAATAGGCAGGATAATATCAGTCTATGCAGGCATGTTATAGTATTATAATTCAAAACATATTCAAGGCTAGACTCTTGGTAGAATGGTTGTGTCAAATTTTAATAATGTGTTATATAAACAATGAAAACTGTCATAATTCAATTAATTTCTTTGAAACACTGAAACTAATAAGTCTAACTCATGGCAGGAAACAACTCTTGTGAGGTCTTGTGAGTCAGAAAGCGATATGTGTACCTTTTTAAGAGTAACATACCGATGACACATCTATACATTTACGGATGAGATTTAGCCCTGTGTCACAGTTGCATTCACGTTCTGACATCAGTAGACCGTTTTAACTTTAACACTAGCTGAGTTTTGAGATTTGACATCAAAACAGCACATTATCAGATTGATGTATAACAGATGTCGATTCTAAAATAAATAATTCAGTTTATAATAATATGTTGTGTTATATTGGTATCGGTCATCATCATTATTAGTACCGGTGTTGTACTATTATTAATACTTCTTCACTGCTGTATGTATGGGTCCAATTGGAAGGAAACTAGGAACCAATTGATTTATGGGTATTCATTATTCATCAGGTCACACATGATTACCATAAAGTAAATACCGTTGTTCATCCATACTATATAATATATATAAATCTGAAAGTATTTTTGTGTTTGTCTTATTTCACATCAAAACAAAACATTGGATTGTCATGATTTTCTTACAGTGATAGTTTTAGGTGAAGAAAGTGAGATAGGCTATCTTCTAACCCGTTCCCATCGCATTCTCAGTTGAAACTTATGTTTTGTTCTTATTATATTACGAAAAAAAAAATTAAACTTCTTTGACTGCGCAGGCAAAGTTCCCTCAACTTTTTAAGATATAGTACTGTTATACAGGTAATCCTCCTACATGGTATTTCTACTACAAAATAACAAAATTTTTCTTTAAAAGTATTTAGAACATTATATAATTCACTATGAACACACTATTTGGCAGTAACCGATATTATACTGCTTATTTTTTAAATGTAAAAGGTAAAAAAAATACATCCATGCATTGTTGAGATGTTTCATTCAGAAATATTATTTTCCTTTTTGTACTGGCTTCTAGTCTTATATTACACGGTTTGCACAACACGGGACTTTGTAGGAACATATCCACCATGATACCTGGTTACCTGTATAGTATTTAACAGCAGGAAGATGTATACCTGTGAAACTTCATCATATGTGACACCAGCATAAAAACATATTTCATAATATTTTAGTTACTCACAAGTAATCATCCCGATTCAAGCCAAATACCTCGTGTAATATGCGAAGAATGTATCCGAAGGTTGCGAGATGCGGCAGCCTTGAAACAGACTGTATTGCAGAGTCAAGAAGCACTGCTGAGATTTGCTCAAAATTTATCACAAGACATTCAAAGTAAGATCTTTCACTACGCACCTCAAACCACAAGTCGTCGTGGCCTAAAGGATAAGACGTCCGGTGCATTCGTTGTTGCGATGCACCGGTGTTCGAATCCCGCAGGCGGGTACCAATTTTTCTAATGAAATACTTACTTAACAAATGTTCACGATTGACTTCCACGGTGAAGGAATAACATCGTGTAATAAAAGTCAAAAACCCGCAAAATTATAATTTGCGTAATCACTGGTGGTAGGACCTCTTGTGAGTTCGTACGGGTAGGTACCACCGCCCGGCCTATTTCTGCCGTGAAGCAGTTAATACGTTTCGGTTTGAAGGTTGGGGTAGCCGCTGTAACTATACTGAGACCTTAGAACTTATATCTCAAAGATGGGTGACGCATTTACGTTGTAGATGTCTATGGGCTCCAGTAGCCACTTAACACCAGGTGGGCTGTGAGCTCGTCCACACATCTAAGCAATAAAAAAAAAAAAAAAACCAACCACTCGTCAAGGTATCAGGTTTTGCTTGTAATTTTTGTCACCAGTACTATTGTTGAAAATGCCCTCTTGAACCATGGAAACTGCAAAACAGAGGTAGGCACCCCGGGACACCGGTAACCCAATTCATAATTTCAAGCAACGATATTGTAGTCTCGTAAATAGGTATAATAATTTCAAATGATCACAAATGACTACCGCTATGAAGGAATAACTTTGTGTAATGAAAATGAAATCTGTAAAAATTAGTACATATTTGCCTAATTACTGGTGGTAGCACGTCTTGTGAGTCAATACCGGTATCTACCACCCTGCCTATTTCTATCACGAAGCAGTAATCGGTTCCCGTGTGAAGGATAGGTCCGCAGTCATTGTATTATAGGACTATGTGATATAAGACTCTAGGAGGGTGATGACGTCATTTACATTGTTAATGACTATGGGCTCCAGTAACCATCAGTACACACCAGATGGGTCGTGAGCTCGTCCACCCATTTAAGCTATAAAAATAAAATAAAACATAATAGACATCACTAGATCAGCCATTAATATGGAAATATATGGTTTGAATATAAGGCTTATTCAACTGATTTGTGACTAGTCTGCGCTGAGTCCCGCGATGTTACCCGCGGTTATTGTCGTACCGCGGATGACCTCGCGGGGTGAAGCTAGTCTAAAAAAGTAGCCTAAGCTACTCCTTATATCATCAGCTACCTATCAGTGAAAGTCCCGTCAAAATCGGTCCAGCCATTCCAGAAATTAGCTGGAACAAGCAAACATACAGACAGACAGACAAAATAAAATAAATGTTATTTTAGTATATATACTGTGTATATATACTTACGCATTTAGTAAAAAGTGGTTATTTTATAATTACCTATGAAATAAGCAAAATCAAAAAAAAATTTGGTGTACACTTTAGACATTTTACTTATAACACAAATTAAACTAATTTTCAATTATTAATTATATTATTAATATTTCTATACAGTCAAAGAGAGTTTTTTTTTTTTTTTAAATTAAAGAATACCAATAGATTAATCTCATTTCTTATAATGTTTCAGATAAAAATACGTTAGAAGAATCATTAATGACCGATATTAAAACTGAAATTTCAATGGAAGACAATTTGGTAGAAATATTTCCCGATGACAACTTTGATGAAGACGGTAGGTATTAGGGCAGGTAAATGAAAGCTTCCTGCTTGGAGGTGTATCGCGTTCCGACCCGGCAGGCCGGTTTTGACCCAGCGGGGTATTCCGGAACATCAATGGCATCGTCCGGTCGGTCTGGTAGGGCCGACGACGCTTGTAGTTATCGTAAGCGTAAACAGATGTCTGTCTTCGGAAGCCGAAGTCCTCTTATGAACGGTAATACGCCCCGGTCGGATGCGTTGTGCCTTGGGATTATCGACTACTCGCAATCACAATTCATATCGGTACTTATCGAACCTCCGCTGTTTCACGCTAGTGTGCTTAGTGCGTTATTTTATTGAAGTGAAACTTCTTTAGAATCGTTGTGATTTCAAACTCGATGAAACGAAAAAATAAGTCCATAGAAACACAAACAAATAAATATATAGGATTCAGCCGGCGAGAGAATGAGATAGAACACATTAGACCAGTGATTCTCAACCTTTTTTTGTTGCGGCACATATTTAACGACTTCAAAATTTGGCGGCACACAAAAAAAAAATAGTTACTTACTACAACAGACTGCATAAATAGTTTATCAAAAAAATTTAATATACGAAATAAACTAAAATATACTTTTTTTTTTTGTCGATTTAAATATATATTCATGTTTAAAATATTTTTCTTTTCAAATGATATAATTTAATAATATTAACTATATTATATAATAAAATAAAATTTGGCAGCACACTTTTGAAATTTGACGGCACATAAAAGTGCCGCGGAACAGTGGTTGAGAATCACTGCATTAGAAGTTCTCAGTGTAGTGTTTTTTTTTTAATACAGCGCCATCTGTGAGATTTTTACTAACGTGTGTATGAAACCTCTTGTAGTGAATTTTAAGTTAGGATTATACGTGAAGTTAATATATCAATTCAAAGAGGGCGCTACCTCATACTATAAAAGATTATTTACTAATGACAAAATTTTACATATACTTAGGGTGGATTCGACCAAACTTATATTTATACACGAGTAACTATACGAGGAATAACCTATTCCATGATTTTAATCTCGAGTAAATCCATAGGCGTTTTTCCACGTAAAGTAAACGATAGTATACTTGCGCTAGGAATAACAATACGCAAATAGCAGAGTGAATGGTGAACGAAAATAAAATCCGGCAAATAAATGTTGTTGTTCAACGGCATAGTGCAAGAGCATACAAAGCGTCAACTCGACTTTGCCGTATTGTAGTGTGAAAAAGTAGCTGTAGTGTAAGATAGAGAGAGAGAGAGAGAGTATTCTTTATTGTACACCAAAAAACAAATGAACAGTTCGATACATTATCAAGATATCTTTATTTGTTGTTTGTTTGAGGGAATTGTCAAGTTTTGTCGTGTGTTTTTATCTTTTTTCGTTTAAACGTTGCATTACACAATGCCAGACTATTAATAATAATTTAGTGCATTGCGTTGACTTTAAATTAAAAAGAATAAATATTTATGAAATGACAGAAATCAGATGATTGGACTGACTGACGCCATTACTTTATTCTAGGAATAGCTTCGTTATTCCGTGCGAAACGGTGGTATAGTAACAATTCCCGAATAGGCCCACTATTCTTATGCCGGCCACTGAAGGGCCGTCAAACATTCATTCGCAAACTTAGCGGCTGTGCAAATGGGTTCGGTACTCAATTTGCGAACCCGTTTGCGCTTCCTCCTACACTTGTTTACGAATGTCTCACGAATTTCTCCTCCTTTTTAATTCGACAATAGAACATTGAAGAGAAAAAGAGTTTTGAATTCTTTCCCAGACATCATTAACAGCCATGCTGTTTTTATGGGATTTCTTTTGATGAAGATACGCTACACAGTAGACGTCACGATCTATGAAAATAGCGAAACGTCCATTGCCTTCGCAATCCTGGGCGCAACTGGTCAGTGGTAACACGAATGTGTGGGAGACTACGCGAAGGATCGCGGTTCGCGCGCTTTGATGTCTGTTATGCCGGCCACATGCGCGCAAATATTCGTACATTGTACGAATGTTTGCGCGCATGTGAAGGGCCGTCATTAGAATTGTAGATGGTAAAACGTAAAATTGATTTACTCTCGATTAACTGACGAGTTATTCTAAGAATAAGATTTACTTTTGTTTGGTCGAATCCACCCTTAGACATTGAGGATAAATAAAGGTCCTGCAGTAGTCGAAATTCGACTATAATTAATTGGAATTGTAAGTTTTTACACTATTATGATTGAATTTTATACTTCTATAATCACAAATTTCGTCAAGGCTACACTATAAAAAAATATTAATAAAGACAAACAATATTTAATCTATTCTCAATTTGACCACAGACGTCAAGAACAAAAGTTTGACAATAAATAGTATGCATGCGTGTGTGCGTCAAATACACGGTATGTAGTGTGTGTAATGTTTTCTTTGATTTTGATTTAATGTATCTTTTGTGCATTATTTTTAAAAAATATTAGCATTGTGCACTTCTTCTCTATATTCTCTATAAGTGTGGAAAATTTCATACTCCTCCGTCCGCGCAATATTCGTAAAAAGGGATACAAAGTTTTTGCTTCACGTATTAATTATTATATTATATATAATATAGATAATTTTAATTAAAAGTTTGAAGGTTTCACTTCTACCACGTGTGAAGTACACACATGGTTTTTCACGTTCTCGATCGCGTTAAAGTCAACTCAAATTTGTATCGAGTAGGGTGGCGTCGCGTGTCTGGTTGTGGTGTTGACCGCGGGAACCCCCCTACTCTGACCGGGTTCTGACCCCGGACGGAGATCGGACGTCGGGTGTAAGAGTGCAGGGGAGTCGTTTAGTGCGGTAGGGCCCTAAAACAACCTTGGGCCCGCGGTCTGCTCCCAACATCTGGAGGTCAATTCCTATATACCACCATGGCCTTGTGTGTAAGACGGATGATGTTATTCGCAAACCACTTACTCATTATACAATAGAGACTTCATACCCATGCGCCTATGTGGGAGCCGGTAGTCATATTATTATGATATCCATGGAAATCGCTCGAATACCAAAAGCTAAAAAGTTGTCGTGGTCTAAAGGCTTTTTTTTATTATTATTTTATTGCTAGTTGGTTGGACGAGCTCACAGCCCACCTGGTGTTAAATGGTTACTGGAGCCCATCTCGTGATCAGCCGAGCTCGTCCACCCACTTAAGTAATAAAAAGCCGTTTCATTAATAATGACCCAAATTTGTGAAATTGTTTCAGATGTTGAGTCAAATTTCAAGGCAGAAGCTTCTAGATTGGATGACGTCACTGATATTACGTCACAACTCAGTAAACAAAATTACGCGGGGAGATTGAGTGCAGAGATAAAAGGTAAGTGACTTTATTGATTTGAAAAAGCCCTAACTTGCTTAATTGTCTCTAAATTAAGCGCTGACTGTCGATAAATCGACCCTCTATTAGTGCGTATAAAGTGCGGAGCGTCGGAATACCGACTATTACGCAGTTAGATTATAAGTATTAGGTACCATTGACCTGTACGGGCGTATCTTAGCGCGTTTATAAATAATAATCTATATATTAATACGTGAAGCAAAAACTTTGTATCCCTTTTTACGAAAATTGCGCGGACGGAGGAGTTTGCCGCCACCCACTTTGAGATATGAGATAGTCTCAGCATAGTTACAACGGTGGCCCCACCCTTGATACCGAAACGCATTACTTCAGCAGAAAAGCAGTACCTTCATGGCAGAAATATGCAGGGTGGTGGTACCTACCCATGCGGACTCAGAAGAAGTCCTACCACCAACAAAAAAGAAAGATAAATGTCGCGTGTTAAGCGAAATGTATGTATTTAAACGTATATAAATACGTTCAACGGCGGATCCAGGGGGGGGGTCATGGGGGTCATGACACCCCCCCTGAGCTAGTTCCAGGACTTAAACTAACTTGGGCTAATTGAAGAACATCATGATTATAGATAAGTTCTTAACTTGCCCACGACTATGTGACCCCCTCCTGGCGCCAAAGCTGGATCCGCCCTTGAATACGTTTGTCAGTCTCTGGTACGCCAATGACACAGGGAATCCTAATTTGGGGCCGGATGACCGTGTGTGATTTATTCCCAGTTATTTATTTATAACTAGCTGCCCCGGCAGACTTCGTAGTGCCTCAATCGATAAATAAAAGATAAACAAAAGGAATCCGTCCGCGGGGGGACATCGAAGGGAAAACAAAATTGTTATTTTTATTTAATTCCGAGTATTTTCATTAATTTATCTACCTTTTAAACCTTCTCTGGACTTCTACAAATAATTCAAAACCAAAATTATCCAAATCGGGTCAGCCGTTCTCGAGTTTTAGCGAGACTAACGAACAGCAATTCATTTTTATATATAGAGATATTTATTAGTTTTTTTTTCTTTTTCTTCAGAAGATTCTCAAAAAGACTGGTCGAAGATCGTGGAGAGGCGCGGCGACGGTCCCTTACTCCGCGAGAACTCCCTAAAACTAATATCAAATTCGACTCTATGCGTGTTCCAGTGGAACAAAAGCCGCTACAGATGTTTCTGCTGTAAGGAGCCCTTTAGCGACATTGACCTGCTGAGGCAGCACACGGACAACGCTCATTCCATAAAAAATATAGAGAAAAAAATAATCGTCCAACAAAATAAACTGGTTAAAGTCGAAATCTCCAAGTTGAGTTGCAGGATGTGCGGGATTACAATGGATTCGTTGTCAACGCTGAGGCGCCATCTTTCCGACGAGCACGCCATCTTGTTCGCGTCAGACGACGATTTACTCGTGCCGTTTAAACTGCAAAACGATTTGAAATGTCAAATATGTCACGAGAGATTTAGCGTTTTTCGTTTATTGAACATTCACGTGAACAAGCATTATAGGAAGCACGTGTGCCATGTTTGCGGCGCCGGCTTCACAAGTTTAGTCTTCTTGAATTTACACAGAACGAGGGCGCATCGTCCGCTGACTTGTAGGCAGTGTGACGCGACCTTCGTTACTAAAAACGATAAAAAGCAACACGAAATCAACGTGCACGGCTTGAAATGCGAACGGAAACTGCGTTTTCCGTGTCCGTATTGCGAGGACAGGTTCTATCAGGAGAACTTCCGCGTGCTTCACTTGGTCGAGAAGCACGGCTTCGCGAGACCGGAGCACAGGTGCGTGGTGTGCGCGAAAACTTTCGTCACCCGCAGCCTATTGAATAATCACACGAAAAACGTTCACAACAAAGAGAAGAATCACAAATGTGACATCTGTCAAAATTTGTTCTACACTAAGTCGGATCTGGGCAGGCACAGGGTCACGCACACGGGAGAACGAAAACACAATTGCGGTGTTTGTAACGCGAAATTCACGACGAAAGACTCGCTGAGGCGACACGCGAAAAGGGCTCACCCTGTATAGTGAATAAAGATTATTAATGTTGTTTTGTTTTATTTCTCTGTTGTATCGATTGATGTTTTTTGATGTATGTATGGATGTGGTTGCGTGTTAAAATCAAAATCTTGTAAGACCAGTCTACGACGTATATTTATTTATAACAATGCGCTTAGGGTCGAGTCACACCGGAATGGCAGCGTCGCGGCGAGCACTTTTACTGTGAAATAATTTTGAGCTTTATCTATATACTTAAAAGATCAGTATCGCTTGAAAAGCTAGAAAAGGTCGCGACACAGCCGCCGGCAGCGTCGCGGCGAGCACTTTTACTGTGAAATAATTTTGAGCTTTATCTATATACTTAAAAGATCAGTATCGCTTGAAAAGCTAGAAAAGGTCGCCACACAGCCGCCGCCTGCCCGCGGTGAGGCGGGCAGCCGCGCGCCTCGTGCGTCTTGTCGGTGGTCCTGCCCGCGGCTGCCAGCGGCGACAAGAGGCCGCTCGCGGCGCCGCGGTCATAATAATATATAATAACCAATTCCATTATGTTCACTCCAAACATACTTTATTTATTTTTTTATAGCTTAGATTGCTGGACGAGTTCACAGCCCACCTGGTGTTATGTGGTTACTGGAGCCCATAGACTTCCACAACGTAAATGCTCATCTCAAGGTGGGTGGCCCCACCTTGAAATATAAGTTCTAAGGTCTCAAGTATAGTTACAATGGCTGCCCCACCCTTCAAACCGAAACGCATTACTGCTTCACGGTATAAATAGGCAGGGCGGTGGTACCTACCCGTGTCGACTCACAAGAGGTCCTACCACCAGTAATTACACAAATTATAATTTTGCGGGTTTCATTTTTATTACACGATCATTGCCGAATGACGAAACTAAATTAGTCAAGAGGAGATTAGGCGCGTGCAGTCTGGAGGCCGCGCGAGGCTGCCAGCGGCGACGCCGGGGGCCGCTGGCATCGTCGCCGGCCGCTGCCATTCCGGTGTGACTCGGCCCTTATACTTTATGGCTTACAAAAGTTAGGGCGTGGACACATGTCTACGGTGCGGCGCCAGCTACCGTGTAAGGGCCGAGTCACACCGGAATAGCAGCAGCCGGCGGCGATGCCAGCGTCGCCGCTGGCGGCTTCGCGCGACCTCAAGACTGCACGCGCCTAGTCTCATTTTGACTAGTTTAGTTTCTTCATTCGGCAATGATACTCGTGTGTTCAGAGTGAACATGTTGGAATTGGTTATTATAGCACTTATTGCGGAGGAAGACGAAAAAGAAAGAAACAAACAAAAGAAAAAGGGATATATGGGTCCATGACTTATGGAAGAAACGACGACTGTTGGGAGAATTCCAAACATTTTGTACAGGCTTACGCTCGTACCCAGACATATTACGATTATTGGAACGAAGTTTTGGAACGAAGTTCCTTATCGCGCGTTGTGAAAGGGGGCTAGAAGGAAAAAATTCTTACGAAAAGTTGTCACGACACTTTTTAGATCCGTCATTCTGACCAATCAACGTGTAGGCGCTTATCGCGTGACATTGCTCGTATCCGATTGGTCCGCGTAATGAGTACAGTTTTTCGAGATAGCGTTTCAACAATAGTAATTTAGTTCATAGTATTGTTTTTTTCTTCTTCATAATGCCGTAATTTATTATTATAACTTAAAAAAATAATTACAATTCCTTCACTAATTAATCGAAAGGAACTTCGTTCCATCCGGGTGTCCCTTGACACCTCTGAAGTTTTTTTATAAATTGAACTATGATCAATTCACAAAATTGGTGAATATTTTGGAGCCCTATCTTAGAAAACAAGAATTCAATTACAGAATGCCTATTTCTGTTGAACGGTTATCCGTCTGCCTGAGGTAAGTTTTTGCATTGACTGTAATCTAGACTTTCAGAAAACTTTTATATAATTCGAATACAATCAAATTTTACATTTCCCCTTCACGACTCCAATATAATGGATATTTGGATGGATATACTTACACGAAATGATATTAAACAACATGATATTTCAATGTATTTATATTGTGACATTTAAAAAAACTAAAAACAAGAACATATCTGTAATGCTTGTATTCTAATGATTCTAGTAATCGAAATCACTCGTATCAGGATCTGAAGAGTATGGCCTGGAAACAGATTGTGGTATGTAAGGCAATGGTGGGTCCATAGATGAATAGCTGTTAGATATATAACTTGTCTCATAGCTTTTTGTTGTAGTATATAGGTTGACTGTAGACTTTTTCGTGCAAATTTTGAATGGGATGTATGAAAATGTTTTAGGTGCAGCGTCTGTCTCGTTTGCAGCGAGAGATGTCTTGAATGTGTGTGTGAATGTTTTCTGCGAAAGTTGGTATCAATGTTGTTGTATTTTGAAAAATGTTTGTAGAAAATGGGAACCTATAAAATTCCATGATTTTCATCTAAAAGCATTATCTCGGCTTCATTTACGATGCGGAAGATTTCACACTTTATTTGAGCTTGAATCTTGTGTGGCATTATTCGAACCGTTCGGCCCATGGTCTGAAAAAAACTCATTGTTGGATCATTTTAGTTTTCCTTAGATTCTAAATACTGCTGGTCTAATATATCAGACATTTTAAGCGGTTGCCGTTCATTGTGGGAAGTGGAGGTACAGTTCGATAATTATAACTTCAGTCGCGGTGACGGCACAGACGGCGATTCTGCATTTGAGGGCTCAGCATCTGTAGTAAAATCCGAATCTTCAGGTGAACTTATCAAATTGGAAATTTGTGCCCTATCTTGAATAGCCGGATCCGCACCGGACGATCCAAGGCGCTCCGATCGCGCGCGGCATGGAACGCGCTCCACGGAGCGTGAAATGTAGACGAGCCGCGCGCGATCCATCCTCGCGATCATTTCCTCCCATTTGAAATTTTGTCAGATTATAGTTAACCTAGTATTTTGAAGGAAAAAAAGTCAGCTGGCCATAACATGGTGGATTATACGTCAGCTGGCTGCTTGAACATGAAAAAAAAATATATATTTTCAATGATTTCCTCTCAACTAAAAATTTATCTGGTGATCGTTTATATACTACTATGAATGAAAATTAATGTCAGCTTGCTGTATCTCAGTGGAAAGTTTGTCAGCTGTACCTTGAAAGGTGTAACGCAGCAGCATCTATCACCTACTGAATCTTATCAGCTGACGACTTTGACTAGTGTGTGGTGGTGACAAATTTTACGAATATTTTGTGGCGCAGGAGCAGTGCTCCGTGTGGGCGTGGACACATGTCTACGGTGCAGCGCCGGCTACCGTGTAAGGGCGCGGGGCCGCTACCGTTACAAAGGCGCGGCGTCGTGCCGCGGCACTGTGCAGCATACGGTGCACCGCGCTGACACACGCGCCTATGAAGTCCTGAATTTCATAATAGTACAGACCAACGAATAAATAGATTTATTATTTATTCGTAGGTACAGACTACAGACCGTACAATCAGTACTTGTCAATGTCATACTTTATGGGCATGCCGACCTAATGAGTGGTGGGCTATGAATCATCGTGACTACAGACTATGAACTATCGAAATTTTAAATAAAACAGTTTAAAATTAATTTATTTGTTAATTCTATTGTATATTTTAATATTATAACATTACTTACTTTTGTATTATTATTATTATTGAATTAATATAAATATCCCATCTTTTTTAAAAGGTAAATCACAAATCCCAGGTGTTCAGTTAAAGATAGATAAAAAATTAGCTAGTCAGAGGGTTCACATAGAACGATTAATAGGGCTAACAAAAACTTACTTAATATTAAAAAATGAACTAAATCATTTTTATGTACCTTTAGCATCTAAAATATTTTTCATATGTGTAATGTTATGTAATTTTCGAGAAGGAATTGTCAATAAAAACAAAAAAAAGACGTGTGGCACTCGGAGACTGCCGCGGTAAAGCTATTGCATAGCATTTTTTATCAACTTATGCAATTATAAATCGAAAATAATAATTTAATATTAAAACAACAATAAAATAAGATCCGGCGAGAAACTTAGTGGGCTAACTTTCAATGAATCTGCTACATTGTGAGAATTGCATTTTGACCGCGCACTCACTAGAGGGTGCTACATGGGATAAAGACACGCCTTTGGATGCTAGTTCTAACTCTCATTCGCGCAGAATCAACGGCTTAACTAGTTTATTTTTAATGCCACTCCAATCACTGAATGAGTAGTAGGAGTAGTTATAAAATTCTTCGACTAAGCGTTAGAAAATGGCACGCCCAACGCATTGTAATGTCATATAATTTTCTATTTTACATTTCCGTTTGTCGCCGATAGATGGCGCTTGACGCAAAAGCTGAATATCGCTATCGTTCTATTACCCACGAAATTATATTACATATTTTGATAGTACATAAATCGGTGTTTAGACTTCTTACTTTAAACACTACACAAGCGCAACGTGTGAATGTGTTGAACGCGAGCTACATAGTAGGCGTAGTGAGGGGTGGAAGGTTTTTTCGTTACGAATTTCACGATTCCGCTCTCAAGGCCCGCGATAAAATCTATGCAATAGCTTAAAAATATTACTGATTTTTTATTTCGACAATTGTCTATAGTTATAATACAGAGATTTTTCATACAATGCTTCTTTGAAAATATTTTCATAAAAGATATCTAATTTATTTAACATATTATTTATAAAATTATTGTCTTTTTCAATATAAATTACTTTGATGTCCTTGTAGGTGTAAATGACCAAGTCGCAGTATGTTTTGCCTGAGCAGTATAACTGCCCTTGGATTTGATAATAATATGGGCAGGTTTTTTTAGGGACAATATCCCGTTGCATTGTTCTAAGTAAGGCGCCATTGTTATATTAATTTCATGTTTTCTGCTAGCGTATGGACTTTTCACTTCAATTATAGTTTCTTCGTCCAACACACCATCAGGAGATGCAGCAAGATATGGGCGCTCTTGGCTAATGAAAATGCCACATGGCTCCACTAGCAAATCATATATTATCATATATAGCAAATCATATATTTTTTCATTTTGTAAGCCATGAGTCGTTGCCCTAGAAGTGAAATGTTCTTTATTTAACAATTCACTTGCGTATTTCACCATTGTTGCATTTCTTAAATGGCATATTGTGTGGTAATGGCTGGCTGTGATGCGGTTTTTGGAGTTATACTTCTTTAGGCGCGTTATGAAAATTTTATGAGAGTGAAATTTTACGATGCGCGCGCACCGTGACACAAAATTAACAGAATTAAGTTGCCCACTAAATCGCTCATTACAATACGACCGACGTAACTTGGCGAGTCTGAATATAGCCGCAGGTGAACTTTCGCGCATGTACACTCGTAAAAAAAGTGTTATTAGCATTCATTTTTGAGTAATATAAATGACAAAATTATTATTTAATATAATTCATACTAAATATTATTAAATTATTAACGTTAAATATTTATTATTATTTATTTAATATTAAAAAAAAAGAAATAAATTTAATAAAAATAAAGTATAACTTCTTACGTGTGTACATAAGTACACGCACCCTTTTTTTCTGTACTCATGCTAGTGGGAGCACTCAAGCTGCTCTATAGTCAAATTTAGATTTCGTTGATTTCTTCTGGAGTTATTTCTAGCAATTTTAGATTTTTCCATAGCTGTTGTTCAGGATGAACAGATGTGTGGTCATGGTCATTAGTTAGTGCGTATGGGTTTGCTGGTTCATAAAGTTGTTTTAAAGGCATGTGTGAATTAGGAAAACCAATTATTAAATTTCTGAGTAATGTATTATAACTTACTTTGTTAAGAGTTTTCAGAGGATAAGGCTCAAATATTACCTTCTTTTTCTTACTCATTTTTCTGCGTGGACTGGATACCAGTGTAAATTTTATTTTGGTATCTGGAATTGTTGTAATTTTTGTGTGCACACTTCAGAAGTATAAACTTTTCATGCACCATATTCTCAATTCCTAGTAAGAGAACAGCAACATGCTTATAAACGGCATTCACACCACTTCCCGCAGGACATTCACATTTGGGATTCTACAGGATTCCCATCCTTATGAAGTTTGATATTAACTTCATACTGCAGGTTCCTCATTGTTTTCCTGCAATGTCCTTTTACATAAGTATAATCACCAACAACAGAAGACCTGGCCGTTAGTAAATGCCGGCTTTCATATAGCTCATTGGCCATGCTTGATTTTTTCAGAGTGCTGAAAACAAAATGAAAGTAAAAAAATTGGAGATTGAGAGTATGAGTAACTTAAACTTGTAAATTCCGTATCTATTAATAACTTACTAGTTTACATAATGCCTTAATGCTGCTGTACGCTGGCGACATCTGAGAAAAGCTTTAACCGGCCAACCCCATTTGTTGAGTTTTGTTATCTTTTGTTATTATTTTTAGTTTCTTGATGGCATAATGCCAATGAGAATGAAGAAAACTGTTTTGAACGTCGTGATTTAGTAAGGTTTGTAATTAAATTAAACCCAATTATATGTTACATTAGCATCGATAATAGTAGCAACTTCGATAGCTACTACAACCCTAGGAATGTCAGTTTGACATATTTTATGTCGCAGAGATCAAGCTATCATACATGAAGTAGCACTGTTTATAAACAAAAAAAAGTAATTGGAATTTAATATGTAGTACACATCGTTTAAATATGTATAATTGCCCATACTATCTAAATTCATAACGATTATAGTAAATAGTGTTGAATAATATTCGTTTGGAATTGCAATTAATTAATCCGCATTGTCAATAATAAATAAAAATGAATGCTAATATCTGCAGGTGTTGTTTAACAAAAAACTGTTCTAATAAAATGAATGAAGAGTATTGTCTTAACTTACCCGGCGAGACAGAAATATACGAAAATATTTTACGTGAAACGTTTGATATTATCGTAAGTTAACAAAAGTAACACTTAATAAAAACGTGTTCATGCGATAGGTAATAAATTACGATCTTGTTGTTTAAATAATTAAAATTCGCGCGGGAACCATACGAATACATTTAGTTTTAGAATATATTTAGACATTTAGTTTAAAAAATGTGATTGTGTGTGTGTGTGTAGGTTTGTTTGGCTAAACTTTCCTTTGTGGTCCGTCGACCAAATATTAAATAATATAATATAAATATTATGAAGTGTAATAATAAAAAAGTACACTGTACAAAATAAGTACATTTTGTCAAGCAGCCTTAAGCATTATTCAGTTAATTTTTTTTTTATTGCTTTGATGGATGGACGAACTCACAGCTCACCTGGTGTTAAGTGGTTACTGGAGCCCATAGACATCTACAACTTAAATGCGCCCCCCACCTTGAGATATAAGTTCTAAGGTCTCAAGTATGGTTACAATGGCTGCCCCACCCTTCAAACGGAAATGCATTACTGCTTCACCGCAGAAATAGGCAGGGCAGTGGTACTTACCCGCGCGGACTCACAAGAGGTCCTACCACTAGTAATTACGGAAATTATAATTTTACGGGTTTGATTTTTATTACACGACGTTATTCCTTCACAATGGAAGTCAATCGTAAACATTTGTTGAGTATGTATTTCATTACAAAAATTGGTACCAACCTAGGATTCGCATCGGTGCATCACTCAACATGAATGCAGCGGACATCTTATCCTTTAGGCCACAACAACTAAATATCCCAATACAACTGTAACTTTTAATTAATCCAAATTTTCCATTTAAAAAAATTGGTATAATATTTATTCAACATCATTACCCAATTTCCAGTTATATCAACACAAAAGCACACAGAAATACATATGCAAGAGTTGTGTGGTAAAATTGCATGATGCCACAACCTTCAAGCAGCAAGTTTTGAGATCTGAAGAAGCATTCTTAGCTCTAATTCATCACCAAGGTATAGAGTAAGAGGTGGCTACAAGCTTGTTTTTTAAAAAAAGAACCAAAAAATGTTACAGCTTGACAATAATATTACTATAGCCTCATAGAAGCTGCTGGAAGTTCCTTACTGAAACAGGCATTGTGGGGGGAATTAAATTATAACATCTAGTAGTTGATTTTGTTACAGAATCCTCATCTCATCTTGGCTCAGTCAAGCAAGAGATACCAGATGATGACACTAATGAGAAGAGTGCTGTGGCAGATGATGTGATAAATAATGGGTGTCTTATCAAAGACAAGCAGGTACCGCATCGCAGAAAAATTGGTGATATGGTTACAAATGATGGTAAGTGTTATAGTGATTATTAAGGCCTCGTCCTGAATTGTAGTGAAAGATATGATTTCTAGAAAAATTATACATAAATTATTTAAAAATAGTATTTTTTAAATACAATTTGGGCACATACATATTTCTTGTACAATAGAAATCAGAGTCCTAGAGAGATATACTGAAATATGTTTAAATGTGTACATATATAGATAATCAACAGACAAACCTGTTTGTCAAACAAATATTTCTCCTATGTGGGGATTGAACCTGCACCTCTTAGTCTAGCTGTTAGGGCTGCTACAGTAATTTTATTAGCATTTTTTTTACCAAAGCTCTTCTCAATGCATATGCCCATGGACATCAATATGTGAATGCAGCCGGTCGCCTTGAGACATGAGGTCCAAGTCTCAAATGTTTTAACGGTTATCTTGTTCTAACTGGAACGCATGTTAGTATAACTGTTGAAATAGATAGACCCTTTTGAAGTTGACGTAGCATTAACATTATTTATTTTTGTGACGGTAAATTTTCAAATTCATTCACAGCCAAGAAACCGATGCTTACGGCAAACAGGAAATGCCTTAAAAAGCAATCTCCGAATACAATTCAAAAGGAAAATACTTTGAAATTAATAAAAAACTCAAACATGTGCTTGTTTAAGTCGTTTAAGACGAAGTTCGGCTGCTATCAATGCGGCGAACGTTTCCTAAATATCTTGGATTTACGGGAACATTCTCGCAGGCACACGGACACTAGGAAAACGGAGACGGGGGTCACGAACCTCAAGGGCGTGTCGTGTCTGAACGCCGAAATATCCGATCTCGAATGCAAACTGTGCTCTAAAGACCTCAAAGGCCTGGCCCAACTGCAGACGCACCTAATCGAAGCCCACGGCATAAAGTTCGAAAGTCCCAAGCACTATTTAGTGCCGTACGAGATTCGAAACGGCTTTCGCTGTACCGTATGCGGTCAAAAGTTCGAGAGCTTTCTGCGTTTGCACATCCACATGAACAGCCACTCTTCAAACAACGTCTGCGAGGTCTGCGGGGTCTCGTACGTGAACCGGACCAGTCTCAGGGTCCACGTTCAAGGTCAGCACCGAGAGAAGAAGTGCCCTCAATGCCCTATGGTGTTTCCGGGGAATTCGGCGAAATCGGCCCACTTGCACAAGGTCCACGCCAAGAAGCCGTACTTGAGACGCTGTTTGCATTGCGATAAGACATTCCCATACGCGTACCAGTTGAACGAGCACTGCGTTAGCGAACACGGCAGGAAGCGCGAGTCCCATCACTGCCAAGAGTGCGGCAAGCTGTTCTTGACCCGGCAAAATCTGCGGATCCACACGAAATCGGTCCACGTCAGGGAACGCAAGCACGGCTGCGCTGCCTGCGACATGAGGTTCTTCACGAAGTTCGATTTGAGTCGGCACGAGGCGACGCACGAGGACGTCAGGCCGTTCTCGTGCGCGAATTGCGAGACCAAATTCAAGAATAAGGAATCGCTGCGAAGGCATATTAAAAGGCAACATTCAATGTAGATCGAAATGGGATTACGCTGGATAATGATAGTGATAGGACCGGTCGTGATGGCGAAGCTCTAGGGCGGATATGTCCAGCATTGGACGGCAATGGGCTAATGATTCTTCTTATTCTGTGCCGCCGCGCACCGGCCGGCCAACGCCTTGTACATCATTATTACGCGCTTGATCATTATTTTAAAAACTGCGATATTTTCTAAGATACTGATCGAAATCAAATGATGTAAAGGGCATATTTCTTTTGAATTAAATACTTGTAATTAATAACGTATTTATTTCGACAGGGACTAATATCATATTTATAAAAACACCTTTACAAATAATGCTTTATTTTAGAACAAATTTGGTTAGCATAAAAAACGTTATGGAGAGCCAACCATAATGCCGAGTTTACATTACGAAATTAGTGTCATGCATGTTGAGCTCAGTTTCACGAAAGTAGTTTCGATATATGCGAAAGTAATTTCGTTAAAAAATTAGTGTCGCGAAATCCACAGTATCGCAGTAACCATGGCGCCTTCAGCATCAAAGCTATAATTTGTTATATTCAATGTAGCTAAAGAAATGCTTATATACCTATAAACTTAAAAAAAGACTATCAAGAAAAAAAAAGTTGGTAGATTCGAGGATGGTCAACAAGAAGGCATTTAGGTGCAATGAAGTTAGTCTCTGAATTAGCAGATGAAGATCCTGAGAGTTATAAAAACTATTTTCGAATGAGTGAAGATAATTTTGATTTTTTACTATNTAGTCTCTGAATTAGCAGATGAAGATCCTGAGAGTTATAAAAACTATTTTCGAATGAGTGAAGATAATTTTGATTTTTTACTATAGGTGTTTCGGGACCCTTGTCATTGATATTCATTAATAAGATCTATATTTTTTTCTGTACTCCATCATTGGTTTGCCATTTTCAACGCTTGAAGCGCGTCCGAACTAACAATACACACTTTCGCGACATTAGTTTCACGTCGCGTCTACACTATGAAATTAGTTGCATGACACTAATTTCACCAAAAAATCGCGCAGGGCACGAAACTAATTTACATGCATGAAATTAATGCATGCATTACGAAAGTATTAAATTACACGTGAAACTGTCGGTAAAACTAATGTCACGAAATTAATTTCACGCCACTAATTTCGTAATGTAAATTCGGCTTAACATATAGACAATATGCTGTCATGGCATGTCATGGCGGGAAACAATTCTGTCATACATTATTTTAGCGAAACTTTAACCGCTCCCACAGCACACGCAGCGGAAGCTTTCAAAAGAAAACGAAAAAAAACGATTTTGAAACATTATTTATTAGTGCTTTGCTCGTATAGGTCTCTGCTTGCCTTCCTCAATAAATGGGCTATCTAACACGGAAATGATTTTTCAAATCGGACCAGTAGTTCCTGAGAATAGCGCGTTCAAACAAATAAACAAACAAAGAAACAAACTCCTCAGCAGTAATAAAATAGAAAATAGAAATAGAAAATCTGAAAAAATGGCGCTAAATTTGAAATCTGTTTTTTAAAACATTATATATCGACGCTTGAAAGGCAAACGTGACTACGCGTCAATGCGTGAACTTTACAGTAGACTAATTTAAAGTTGAAATAACTGAAAAAAAAATTTTTTTAACGAAACTAGCTGTAGTAGAATCTAGCTAGTAGCTGTAGGATTGAAATGATTTAACAGACCTAGATATATTTTATATTTTTTTTGCGCATCGAATATGGTTATTGCCTATCATTTATGTACAAAGCAGTTATTGTCGCTTAGTCACGTTTGCCTTTCAAGCGTCGATATATAAATCACATTCTCAAAAATGGTGCTAAATTAATCTGATATTTGAGTCGACTATTATCAAAGCCGGCACTCTGACTTTTGGACAATGATTGGTAAATCAGAAAAACGAATTATTGACTTTGTATTCCATTGGCAGTCACAAAACTCTTCGGAACGACATCTTAGATAAATAACAGGTTAACTATTAACCTTTATTTAATGCAGGTTTTGAACCGTATTCTTTGAAGGAGACGATTATATTCAAATCAATCTGTATTGACATATCAATAAAAAAAATTTGTCCAAACGCACAGATTGCCACCTTTGATAATATACGACTCAAGTATACAGATGAGTCGACTATTATCAAAGCCGGCAATCTGACTTTTGGACAATGATTGGTAAATCAGAAAAACGAATTATTGACTTTGTATTCCATTGGCAGTCACAAAACTCTTCGGAACGACATCTTAGATAAATAACAGGTTAACTATTAACCTTTATTTAATGCAGGTTTTGAACCGTATTCTTTGAAGGAGACGATTATATTCAAATCAATCTGTATTGACATATCAATAAATTTTTTTGTTCAAATGCACAGATTGCTACCTTTGATAATAGACGACTCATTTATAAAAATATCGAAATGACAAACTCGAAAATGGCGCTAAATTAATCTATTATTTAAAAAAAACAGAAATGACTCTCAAAAATGGCATTACGAAACCTGTTAATAAAATAAAAACATAAATGACATTCTCAAAAACGGCGTTCAATTAATCTGTAATTTAAAAAAACTAATCAGAGAAATGACACTAAAAAATGGCGCTAAATAAATCTGCTATTCAAAAAAAATGGAAATGACATTCTCAAAAATGGCGCTAAATTAATCTGTTATTTAAAAACTAATCACAAATGACACTCAAAAATGGCGCTAAATTAATCTATTATTTAAAAAAATCAGAAATGTCAGATCAGACGTGAGCTTAAATAAGTCATGTCAAGACGAACAAAACACAACGAAAAAAAAAGCTAAGTCGGTTGAGGTCTTTTCAAATTCTATAATTCATGTAGCAATTGATTCTATTATTACTTACATGAGACGCAGGTGGAATTATTAAACACGATACTTTATTTTGGAAATCAATCCCAAACACTTGTTTTGTACGATCATATTATGCATACGAGTAAATTCGAGTTAGGTTTATTTTAATTTATTAATTATCATTAGAGTAGGATAGAAAGACTTTCTACGTAAATGGTAATAAAAATAAATGGTTCAGGTTTTAAATATATTTTAACGACAGAAGTCACGATATATTGTTTTTCTCAACCCATAGCACACTTTGCTATGTTAAGACTTGTATTCATAACATTTCCACTTCTTACACTAGCGCTATGTCGGTGAATCTTCCAACAATAACTTGCTGCTTACAGACGGACACTTTTTCAACCCTGTCCCCTATACAAGTTGCTCCCTTTCTTGTTACTTTGACCTTCAGTGTGCTTAGTGCGAGTTTCTTAATGTTCTAGAAAGCGTAAAAGTTTAGCCAATTTTGTATGCAGTTGGAACAGCGCCCCTAGCGGCAAACGCATTCAAACGATCCCATTCCATACAAATATGAGCTAACTTTTACGCTATCGAGAACGTTAAAAAACTCGCACTAAGCACACAATGCGCTGACGGATGATCGGGAACCACTGAAGTATGAAACCTATAGGTCTATGTCGGGAACCTAGACATATTTATGACATCGACATTAGAAATTGACATATTATGTCATATTATGCATTATTTGTAATATTTTTATAGAAATATTTTTATTTTTATATGGAATATACGTTAAAGGATATATACGCTGATTGCGCGGAGATCAAAAGGAAAAAACCATATGATCATGTTAATGAAGGTTTGTTAATTTTGAATTACTTGTGTTCGTTTTTCCCTCACTCACTTTTGTGGATTAAATCACCAACCCAGGGATCACGGGTCAGTGAACAACAGCTGTCCCCCCTAAAGCGTCATCTCGAACCTTAATGATCTACATTCATGTCAAGACGGTATTCAAATTTCGAGGTCAATGTCCTTCAGTATTCTTTTGCGTATCAAGGCAACACCACTTTTTTATCCATCGATGGAATTAAATCAAATCAAATCAAAAAAAAATTATTCAACATAAATGAAAGTACATACTTGTTGAACGTCAAAAGAACTACCGCCAATTCACAAAAACTAACCTCTGTCCTGAGAAGAAATGGCAAGAAACTCAGCGGGCATGTTTTTTTTTTTATATTCATGACCTTCGTTCGCAAAACTTGCGTGTCGCCAGTTGATTCTCTAAATTTATCGCCTCAATTTCTGGTCACATATTAAAATAACTCTAAATAGGCGTGCATACGGTCTTTAATCGCGTGTCGGAATCACGAGCTCGGAAAGAATGTTTGGTTCCGTGTTCTCTCCAATGAATTCTGAGCATTTTCCTCCAGCACCGTAAGGTCCAAGTGTCTGGGCCGTGAAGAAAAAACGGAGAAAAACGGAGAGGGAAAAAAGAACGAGTAACGAGCTGATTCTCGATCTTCCTTTTGTAACATTTCTTCTTCATCGGTTCTTTAGATTAATAAGATCCGCCGATGTATTTGTTCTATAGTAACCGACAAACCAATGCCATATCCAAATTCACCGAAACTATAACACCTCTGTGGTTTGTTATTTCATCTTCTATTAGCCGGAAAAAATAAGTGGTTACTGGAGCCCATAGACATCTACAACGTGAATGCGCTACCCACTTCGAGATATAAGTTCTAAAGTCTCAGTATAGTTACAACGGCCACCCCACTCTTCAAACTGAAACACATTATTGCTTCACAGCAGAAATAGGCGGGGTTGTTGTACCTACCCGTGCGGACTCACAAGTGATTACGCAAATTATAATTTTGGGGGTTTGATTTTTATTACACGATGTTATTCCTTCACCGTGAGGGTCAATCGTGAACATTTGTTAAGTACGTATTTTATTAGAAAAATTTGTACCCGCCCGCGAGATTCGAACACCGTTGCATCGCTAGATACGAATGAACGGGACGTCTTATCCTTTAGGCCCCGACGACTTCAAATAAATAACTCAACACACTATTTTATAAATACTTATAATGGTAAGGTAGAGTCTTCGATCAACAATAGTAAGTTACTATTGTTGATCGAAGTGTAGAGTATTATAATTTTAACAGGAAACAGAGAAAACAAAGTTAGCAACTAGGTGGTACTAATTATATTAAATTACGAAGATAATATTTTTATGTTAAACATTAAATTAGCGCGCGAATCTTGTCGACTGACGCATAGATTATACACTTCATATATTTGAGACGTCTATAGTCGGATTTTTTATTAGACGAAGTCAACTGACGTTTACTGTGTTGTCAGTTTTTGATGAAATAAAAATAGTGTTGTGACAAAGTGAACGATTGAAAAAACTCCTGAATTAATGAAATTGCCTCGATTGTCTAGTGAATAGTTGGTGTGCCGAATTGCCGATATCGGGTACGGGGTTCGAATTTTAGGCGTGCTTTGTACATACCAACGAGTTTTCGACGAAATATTATGTTCCTATAGTATCTACCTGTACTGAATACCGAGTGTTTTAAACATTAAGAAAAACATTGCGATGAAGCTTGTAAGACTGTCCTATTTCTAATACATCATATAGTTGTAATTATAGACGTATAAAATATAACAATTATAGGTAGGTAATGAAAATAAAAAAACTGATTGTAGTTACATACTACTAACATATATTGGAGTAGTACTAGTAACATATATTGGAGCACTTTAATACAATTTTATTGTAAAATATAAATAATATTCTTTTATAGTTTGAAATTAATGATTAACTCTTCACACTCATTGTTCATTCATGTGATTGAACGAGAACTGAACGCATCACTATTACTATAAATATAGCAACATTATTTCACAAAGTGACATTAGCTACTGTCAGCTGGCTTCGTCTAATTAAAAATCCGACTATAGTGACAGCCGCGCGTTCGGGAATTCCGATTGTGCCCGAACACTATGGAGGGTAGAGGCAAGGCGTTTTTGCAGGATAGCCGTCGGAGCCCCGTGGTTCGTCAAGAACGTCGACCTCCATTACGACCTGGACTCCATCAGTAAGTATTTACAGTCGGCGTCGATGCGCCACTTCGATAAAGCGGCACGACACGAGAACCCTCTCATCGTGGCCGCCGGTAACTACATTCCCGATCCTGCGTAAAGAATGGAAAGCAGTCGCCGTCGCCCAAAACACGTCATCTCGGATCCTCCCGATCCACTAACGGTGCTTCTAGGTACTTCAAGCACCGGTCACCGTTCTCGTCGAACCCGTCGCTTGCGACGAAGGGCTCGACGAGTAAATTAACCCTCAGACACAGCCCACTGAGTTTCTCGCCGGATCTTCTCAGTGGGTCGCGTTTCCGATCCGGTGGTAGATTCTGCGAAGCACGGCTCTTGCTAGGGTTCGTGTTAGCAACGTCGTCAGGTTTGAGCCCCGTGAGCTCACCTACTAGTTAAGGTTACGCTGGAATAGCCTCTCAAGGTTACCAGCTTAGGCAGGAAAAAAAAAAGGAGAACCGTCTCATAAGGGAGAAACTTGAAAAAGTGTCCCACTTTCAGCACTAAATAACAATTCAACAATCCTCCAGAACGGCGCTAGTATAGGCACAGGGTATGATATGAATTGAGCAGCTGTTAACTGATTGAAGTATGCTGAGTTAGGAAATTTAATATATTTAATGATTAGAGTAGTTAGTGACAGTGTAATATACAAGACCTCACATGTTTACGTAGTCCAAACTAATTTCGTCAATATAACCTAAAATTATTGCTGTGGTAAAACGTGGAGACATCGATTGAATTTTCTCTACAGCTTTAAATAAAATACTTTTTGTGATTTTGTAGTGCTTACAGTTCTTTCGTCCTTTTTTATTTTTCTATCTTATTCTAAAAACTTTCAGCGCCTTTCTTAAAATTTACCCGGCTGCTACTGTAGCGCCACCCTTATTTAGCAGATTTTAACGGGCACTTTTTCACACACAGAGACGGTTCTCCTTACCTCTACCCTCCATACCAAACACGCCCGAGTGCGACTTGAGGTGCCAATGTTGCCACACTACACCTTTTTTTTTGTGTCGATAGGGAATCCCAGTCTTTACGGATACCCTACCGAGGGGGGTCGGATCGAGTTATGTCGGACTCCGTGCCTCTAGTGGAAAAAGAGGAATAGGTCGCGAACCGAAGTCCGCGCCCTCCCCCAATTAGTCATAGGAGACTACGCCTTTAGAAAGGCGCGTTGGGCTAAGTTCGGCTCTCGTCAAACCCGCCCAGCTTAACGACTACCGACTAAACCCCAACGAGCTCCTTCGCTCCGGCTGAACGGGGACCCAGGTACCGCCATGTGCGCGCCATGGGTCCGCCTTCGCCGGCTCCCACCCCAATGTTACGTTGGGCGGGATCTGCTGCCACACTACATCTCAGAATTTTATTCACACCATATTCTATTCTGAATCAATACAGAAATAGCGAAGAGAATCGGCAGCGAGTACAGAACGCTGCCGACGTACGAAAAAGGTCTTTACGAGGAAGTGTTTAAGAGGCACTATTCTCTGCACGATAACGAGCTGCTGAAATGCCGATGGACACAGTACAAGAAACATTTGGAGGGTAGGGTGTTTGCGCCCTTCCAGTTTCCCGACGTGAGGTGATCAAACATTTACTAGCTCTAATCTGTGGTATAACGCATGAGGATTGTTCTAGAAACATATCCATAGCGAGATGTGAAAGTCTATTTGGTTTAAGCGATATTTCGCTAACACGCGACATTTATCTTTGTAATTAAAGGTCCGTTTTATTTGGTATCAGCATCAACAGTTCGATGTTTTAATTTATCTTCAATTATGCTTACTCCATTCTAATAGCCGAAGAAGTTTTTATTATTATATTATTTCCAAACTTTAAGCTTTAAATGGCTCTCCTTTAAAGTTGCAAAAAGATCCTTTAAATCAAACAGCCTTACACCTCTTGATATTTTAAGTTGCCGCCCTAACACTGTTTTGCCTTGTTTGAATTCCCATAACCATTACAATGACATGACGAATGTGTTTTGACTCTCAATTTCAGAGGTCTGTCCATATGCACTATATTTTGCCCGTGTGTCAATGTGCTTAGTGAAAGTTTTTTAACGTTCTCCATTGCGTAAAAGTTAACTCAAATTTGTATTGAGCAGGGTGGCGTCGTTAGTCTGGTTGTAGTGTTGACTGCGGGAGCCCCTCCACTCTGACCGGGTTCTGACCCCGGACAGAGATCGGACGTCGGGTGCAAGAGTGCAGGGGAGTCGTTTAGTGCGGTAAGGCCCTAAAACATTCTTGGGCCGTGGTCTGCTTCCAACATCTGCAGATCGTCAAGTCCCACATACTCCACGCGCTCCATACCGCGAAGGAGGGTCGGCCCCTGCCCGAAAAAAAATGTATAGAGTTGGTATAGCGTCCCTAGTGGCAAACGAAGGGAAGTTGTTTCAACTTCAAACAAATTTGAGTTAACTTTTACGCGATCGAGAACGTTAAAAAATACGCACTAAGCACAATGGTAATGTCTCGTGCCCTAAGAAGTTAAAGCGATTAAAAAAAATCAAAATCAAACTTTTTTTTTTATTCATCATAAATGAAAGTACATACTTGTTGAACGTCAAAAAGAATTACCGCCAATTCACAAGAACTAGCCTCCGTCCTCAGAAGAACTGGCAAGAAACTCAGCGGGCATGTCTTTTTTTTTAAATATTAGATTTTTTTTTAATATTACATATTTTTTTTATATTACTTTTTTTTTATTATTCATTTTTACAATGAGTATTATAACGTAAAACCGTATCAACAAATACGAGTGATTTTCAGAGATCTTCACTTCTACAACTGCGCCATTCGATTCTTGCCGTCCGAATCGATACATCGCAGAACCAAATATGGATTTAAATTGAAACCCGGACCTGGCGTCGACGACTTTGGCCAGATGCCCATACCGCAAGAGCTAATCATTAAACGTTTTTAAACGAATTTATTATTGAGATATGTTTTTTATTAAACTTTTTTTTAAATGTTTGTTGATTTCATTATTTTACGTCTGTCTTGATTAGAGTCGGCCCTTTAAGCCTATGTTTATCCAGAGCGAGTCTAAATAGTTTTTGAAGCCAGACTGTCAATTTTCGGATTTATAGTATTAGTAGCTGTTACCGGCGATGTTTTTTTCACTCTCCTGACCTATTACTGTTGCTTATCACGTCATTCCGTTGTTTTGTTTCGACGTGAAAGAGACAAACAAACGTACTATCACTTGTATAATATTAATATGGATAAGGATTAGCCTTCCTAACTACGATCAGTGGTTTAATATTAATTCTAGGAAAATTATAATAAATAAATATAAATTTATCCCGCAAAACCAAAGTGAGCCTGGTACGTATATTGGTCTTCTCAATTTTTCTTTATGGCGCCGAATCCTGGACGATAATACGAAGTGAGAGAGCAAAGATCGACGCTTTTGAAATGTGGTGTTGGAGACGGATGTTGCGAATTCCATGAACAGCACGCCGGACCAACCTATCCATTCTGAAGGAGCTGGGTATTGCCACAAGGCTGTCCGCTATCTGCTTCCAACGTATTCTCGCGTACTTCAGCCACATCGCTCGTAGAAGCCCCGATAACTTAGTGAAGCTGATGGTAGTTGGTCGGGTTGACGGGAGAAGATCACGCGGACGCTCACCTACCCGCTGGTCTGATCTGGTCAAAACACTCACCGGCCTGCCAATAACCGAGGCTATCAAGACCGCCGAGGACAGGAAGACGTGGGGAAGCATTGTGCATCGAGCGGTCCACACTTCAGATTAGACACGACCTTCAGCAATGAAGATACCGACTCAGAAGAAGTAGGAAACTTTGGGTTCTGCCTTTACGTTTCTTCACGTCACTTTTCTAACTAGTGAACCAGTTTTCAGTTTTGCTTGTATCTTGATTACTCGGAGACAAAGTGCACTGTACGTTTGTATGTTAGCAATTTAAACTCACTGGTGGAAAATACTACTTTTTCGGGCATGCATGTGTTTCCGCGGGGTTTGTGGGGCTTGACGGTTCGCAGATGTTGGAAGTGGATCGCCAGCCCAAAGGCGTTTTAGGACCCTACCCACCTTTAGTAACATTTGGTTGGGTTCTTCAATAAAATACTGATGACATATTAGACATTTATTGCTCACCTTGTTTAACTGGCGGCAGGCGAACGACTGCCCTCGCAGGAGCGTCGCCCGACATCGGACACACACACACACGTCACACTGCAATATGCAACATTGCATATTATTTACACTACACACCTAACCAACCACTCCTCTTATACTCTCTCATCCGAGGTTCAATCTTCGTCCGGGGTCAGAGCCCGAATAAAGTAGCAAACTACCCGTCAACACTACAGACTCGCGTCCCACCCGGAGGACGCCTGAACGATGCCGGTCTCCGAGTGATTAATGATGAAATTTGCTGGAACAGTCCGGGGAACAATCTCGAAGGCTGGAGACAAACGGTCACCGGGAACGCATACCGTCGCAATTGCCTGGACAACTTACTACCGACACTTGCAACAGCCTCCTGCTGTTCATAGTGAAGGAAAGAACAAAATGCGGTTAGTAGAAGGAAATGGAAATGCACATGATGTCGGCGTTAATGCAGTGGAATACGGTATACACATAAATAATTCATTTCACTTGAGAAACTTTCGAAAAGTCGTTGTGGCCTAAAAGATAAGACGTCCGGTGCATTCGTGTTGAAACGATGCACCGGTGTTCGAATCCCGCAGGCGGGAACCAATTTTTCTAATGAAATACGTACTCAACAAATGTTCACGATTGACTTCCACGGTGAAGGAATAACATCGTGTAATAAAAATCAAACCCGCAAAATTATAATTTGCGTAATTACTGGTGGTAGGACCTCTTGTGAGTCCGCGCGGGTAGGTACCACCACCCTGCCTATTTCTGCCGTGAAGCAGTAATGTGTTTCGGTTTGAAGGGTAGGGCAGCCGTTGTAACTATACTGAGACCTTAGAACTTATATCTCGAGGTGGGTGGCACGTTTACGTTGTAGATGTCTATGGGCTCCGGTAGCCACTTAACACCAGGTGGGCTGTGAGCTCGTCCACCCATCTAAGCAATAAATAAAAAAAAACTTTAGTTTTGTTTGAGGTTTCACGCCGAAAATTAGCGGCGAAGAAAAAAAATCGTTCCAACTGTTTTTAAGGACAGAATTATCTAATAATAATAAGCAAGATTATTTGTCTGTAATCTGATTAATACATTTTATTCTTTTAAATTAAAGTTTTCAAAATATTTAATGACCTTATCGTTATGTTGCCTTTTATACATTGCCGATTATATTCACATTTTTTCCATCTTAGATACTAATTTTAGATGGAATTTTTACTTTTGTATTTGCATATCCTCCCCAATAATTTTCATACAGTAAGCCTTATTTTGATGGCATTGGAATTGTAAATATTTTTAATCATTTTTTAGCTTATAAAAGACACCTATATCACTAAAGTTACATAAAATAGACTTTTATTCTACTTGCTCAATGTATTTCAATTTAAATAAATATCACATAGCAATAACCAAACGTTGCTGTCATTGCACGATCACTCCAGACATGTAATATTTGATTTTTAAAAATAATTTTAGCATGTGAACTGTGTACAAGCGAAACAAAGCGATAGAACAAAGTATAACGCAAAAGAGACAAAAAAAACGATAAAAAAACAGTGGAATTTTGAGTATTTGACAACTTTGACGTTTGTTATGTTATGTCTGATAGGAAATTCTTGACCAATTTTTGCATAACAAAATATAATGTTTATAAATTATTTAACGCTTGAACGGTAGTAGAATAAGCAAACATGGATTCCGAGATAATGGTGGAGATGTTACCGCTACTGGGCGTGTGCAGTTTATGTCTTAATGACGGCGCAGTAAAAAGTATGTTGACCGGACACAAACATAATGACACCATGGAAATATATTCTGATATGTTATTAAAATGCTTCTCCATAGACGTAAGTATTGCGTTAAATATTCAGGCCTTGACATATACGTCATAAGAAATTCAGTGTGGAAAAAAATGTGTTCAGATAATGTAAAAAAAAACAATTTTCAAAGTTCAAACAGACAGTGTTGTGCTATGTGAATCCTGTTTCCAAATTATAGTGCCTACAGGTTTAAATGAATAGAGGAAAACATGAAGATATTAAGTACAGTATCTCAGTAATTGAAATAATTTATGTCAGTTTCAAAATTTATGAACACTTGCGTAATATGTGATTCGGAGATGAAAAACTTAACAAGTGAAGTAGTTTTACAGTGTTTCATAATGTAAGAAACAAGAAGACAGTGGTCCAAATATTATTGTATGGAATTTGTTTAAATCGAAAATTATATTAAATTTAATTTAAGCTAACATTACGACTTAATCTCCAATTTTTCACTGTCCTTAAATTGTATGTTTTAAGTACTTTACAGTTTTCATGGTCACGAATGACTGTATTAATGGTTTTAATTATGTCTATGACTCATAAAAACTTAAGAATATTCACCTCAAAACTATCCAATATCCTTTAGCCAAGATATTACTGTTGTTCAATAGAATTATTGATTTATAATTATATGAACGTATATTGAGTGTGTGGAATGTGAAGAATCCAAATGGAAACTCGAATGCCAATTTTGTTGGACTAGTGACCTTAATGGTAGGCAGCGGCTTGGCTCTGCCCCTGGCATTGCTGTAGTCCATGGGCGACGGTAACCACTCACCATCAGGTGGGCCGTATGCCTACAAGGGCAATAAAAGAAATCTATGATAAGATAGAGCTGAGCTTTAATCCCTAACACTAGCTGTTACCAAGGTTTCATCTGTGTTGTTAAGCAAATCTGTCAGCGAAATTTCCTGTTAGAATCAGATGGTTTTTTTTTTCAGATAAAAGGTAGCCTATATGACTTTCCCAATACTATCACTACAAAATATCAATAATCGTTTCGACATGGAAAAATGACAAATAAACACCCTGACAAGCAGACTTTCACATTTATAATATTATTATGGATTACGGAAACATCTAAAAAAATCCTTTAAGCTAATGCCGTATTTTTTTAGTAACGGCCGATAGATGTCGCTAAGTCTTCACTTGAGTATTCACGCACGGTATAGATGGCGTTACTAATATTTTTTTCTTTTTTTTAGATTACGGCAGTGGAACTGGGCGACACTAAAAGATTAATATGCATGACCTGCATATCGAGATTGCGAGACTGCGTCGCTTTCAGGGTTCAAGTTGAAGCCTCCTTATACACTCTGGAGGATACATTTAAGTTAGAGAGTATGTCGGACTTTTTTTGAAATTTAAATTTAATTAGTCGGGGCTTCCGTAGAGAAGCAACCCCGAGATGTGGGTGAAGGACCGGTGTTGCCAAGTTCTGAGCAGAACACGTTACATTAACCAATAAGGCGATGTCACTAAATTCTCTAAAATTAATCCGAGTCTCTTACTATCAAACCGGTCCAGCATTTCAAGTTTTGTTTTCTCTAGCAAGCCCATGTCATAACTCTTGAGTTCTATCTATTCATCCTTATCTATTAAAGTCTCAAATAAATCAACTTGTATCATCACATTCTGCCAGATGTTATTTTCTATATAACAGAAAATAAGAAGAAATTAAGATCTGGCTTAAAGGTCTCATTAGTAGGTCATGTATTTCCTTCCACATCGTGTAATAAAAATGAAATCCGCAAAATTATAATTTGCGTAATAGGACGTCTTGTGAGTCCGCACGGGTGGGTACCACCACCCTGCCTATTTCTGCCATGAAGCAGTAATGCGTTTCGGTTTGAAGGGTGGGGCAGCCGTTGTAACCATACTGAGAACTTAGAACTTATATCTTAAGGCGGGTGGCGCATTTACGTTGTAGATGTCTATGGGCTCCACTAACCACTTAATACCAGGTGGGCTGTGAGCTC